TTCCCGCACGAGGCAGAAACAAATGGGCAAAGTTTCTTTCACCCTAAGTGCCCCTGTTACCTAGCTGTAAATAGGTACCTGGGAGTTAGTCAGCTGTCACGGGCTGCTTCCTGGGGTGTGTGTGTGTGGTGTGGAAAAAAAAAATTGTTAGTAAACAGTTGATTGACAGTTGAGAGGCGGGCCGAAAGAGCAAAGCTCAACCCCCGCAAAAACACAACTAGTAAACACACACTCACTAGAAGACAAGAAAAAGAGGTGATATGATCACTACGTACAAAATAGTAGCAGGAATTGATCAAATCGAAAGGGAAGATTTCCTGAGACCTGGAACTTTAAGAAGGGGGGGCCAGTGGCTGACTGGATAGCACACTGGACGCGTGATCCTGTGATCGCGGGTTCGATTCCCGCTGCCGGCGAGAAATAATGGGCAGAGTTTCTTTCACCCTGAAGCCTCTGTTACCTAGCAGTAAATAGGTACCAGGGAGTTAGTCAGCTGTCATGGGCTGCTTCCTGGGATGTGTGTGAAATTGAAATTGCAATTGAAATATGTTTATTGAAGTAAAATACACACAAAGGGATGAGGTAGCTCAAGCTATTCTCACCCTGTTCAGTACATCGTGTTAATACATACATAGATACATACCACAAACAATAAACATATTACCGAACATTCTGAGAGATAAACATATACATTTCCTCCTTTACACAAGTAGTATGGTATCAGACGTACACACAAATACTTTTATGACCTAGGTATACTGTATGCACAATTTTGCAGGGATGTGTGTGTGTGGTGTGGAGAAAAAAAAGAATACAAAAATAAAGTAGTTAGTAACAGTTGATTGACAGTTGAGAGGCGGGACCAAAGAGCCAGAGCTCAACCCCCGCAAACACAACTAGGTAAGTACAACTAGGTAAGTACACACACATGCTCTCTCTCTCTCTCACACACACACACACACACACACACACACACACACACACACACACACACACACACACACACACACACACATACATTAGAGCCACAGAGACATTAGAAAGAACTTTTTCAGTGTCAGAGTAGTTAGTAAATGGAATGCACTAGGAAGTGATGTGGTGGAGGCTGACTCCATACACAGTTTCAAATGTAGATATGATAGAGCCCAATAGGCTCAGGAATCTGTACACCAGTTGATTGACGGTTGAGAGGCGGGACCAAAGAGCCAGAGCTCAACCCCCGCAAGCACAATTAGGTGAGTATACACACACACACACACAATGACTTTTCTTAGGCTAAAGCTAGAATATGCAGTGGTTGTGTGGTGCCCATCTTAAGAAGCACATAAAAAAACTGGAAAAGGTGCAAAGACATGCTACTAAGTGGTTCCCAGAACTGAAGGGCAAGAGCTACGAGGAGAGGTTAGAGGCATTAAATACGCCAAAACTAGAAGACAGAAGAAAAAGAGGTGATATGATCACTACGTACAAAATAGTAACAGGAATTGATAAAATCGATAGGGAAGAATTTCTGCGACCTGGAACTTCAAGAACAAGAGATCATAGATTTAAACTAACGAAACAAAGCTGCCGGAGATATATAAGAAAATTAACTTTTGTGAACAAAGTGGTAGACGGTTGGAACAAGTTAGGTGAGAAGGTGTAGAGGCCAAAACTGTCCGTAATTTCAAAGCGTTATATGACAGAGTGCTGCATGGGGAGATGGGACACCACGAAAACAAAAATCTCTCAAAATGAACGTAGCTCTCATCTTGTAACTACACTTAGATAATTACACATTCACACACACATACACACAAAGAGTACTTGGAGGACGGGACACCACGACTGTAGCTCTTATCCAGTAACTATTCTTAGGTAATTATAGGTCCTCGCGGCCAAGTGAGTTCGGGGGGTCGTTGTCCTAAATGGATCGTTGCTCAATTAATTCCCGGTCGAGGCAGAAAAAAAATGACATTGAGTTTCACCTGAAGAATCCTTTTCGCCTTGCAGAAAATAGGTACCTGGTAGTTAAACAGCTACTACGGGCTGCATACTGGGGTTGAATGTGTGTTGTAGATATGATACAAGAAAAATAGGTCTGGAGCAAGTACATTAATAATAATAATAATTTATTTAAAAGTAGGTACAATGGGTTGTGAGATTACATAAGCTTGGTATTTTTACATTCTTGCAAAGCCACTCTCATTATACTACGCACTAATCTATCAACCACTGCAAATTACCTCAAGACTATCATTCACTCAGCAAAAATCTGCTATCAGAACTATAAGAAATTGTCTGTAGACAACACACAGCCCCTCTGTTTAAGTCCCTTAACATGCTAAACATACACACACTCCACACATTCTCCTGTGCTATCTACATGTACAAAACCTTGTTCCTAAATGCTAATCTTGATTTGAAACTTTCCTTGATAGATGTAATAGAACCCCATGAGCACCACAACAGAAATAAATATTTCTGATATCCCCAGAGTCAGACTAAATCTGTGTAAACACTCCACGCAAATAAAAGGGCCCAGTCTATGGAACTTACTCCCTGATGAATTAAAAGAAATTTGTCCAACCCCATGCCCTGTTCAAAAATAAATTAAAATGTACCTAATTCCATCCTCATAGTTTCCTACCTTGTGCTTCAAACCCACACTGTATCATGTACTATCCACTTCCCCATTATTAGTTCTTAAGACATACTGTATATCCTTACCAGTGTAATCACCGCTGTCGACTTATGTTGTAGTTATCTGTTGATATAAAAAAACATTGCTACAATGTACCCTTTTTTCTGTTGTGGTGCTCATGGGGTTCTATTACATTTATCAAGGAAAGTTTCAAATCATGATTAGCATTTAGGAACAAGGTTTTGTACATGTAGATAGCACAGGAGAATGTGTGGACTGAGTGTATGTTTAGCATGTTAAGGGACTTAAACAGAGGGGCTGTGTGTTGTCTACAGACAATTTCTTATAGTTCTGATAGCAGATTTTTGCTGAGTGAATGATAGTCTTGAGGTAATTTGCAGTGGTTGATAGATTAGTGCGTAGTATAATGAGAGGAGAGCAGAGTGGGGAACATAATATCTGATTTTAGAAAAATATGTGTACCGACCGTTTTCGAGACTTTTTTGGGCTGTGTGTGTGTGTGTTGAATGTGGGTGCTGAAGTTCAGTCTCTTGTCAATAAAGACAACTGACGGTTAGAAAGGCGAGGTCCAAGGGCTAACAGCTCGAATAGAAAGTTATTGAAGAAATTTCGATACACAGATACACAGTTTTAAATTATAATGTGATAAGAGAAACGAGCGAAAAGTCATTGCTTTGAAAGAGTAGATGCTCGATCCTGAAAGCACAATTAGGTGAGTACTCACTAACGAGGGATCGAGTGTACTAGTAAGGTTTGTTACCTGGCATTTTCATTTTCCTCCATAAAACCACTTTTTTTTTTTTTGAGATATATACAAGAGTTGTTACATTCTTGTACAGCCACTAGTACGCGTAGCGTTTCGGGCAGGTCCCTGGAATACGATCCCCGCCGCGAAGAATCTATTGTTTACAGTATCTTCTTTTCATTACCCTCTCTCTCTTTCTCTCCCTCCAGCCCAGACTTCCTGAAGCAGATACAGGACCCTGAGTTGGAGGTGTGGGCCGTGGCCCTCAACACTCTCTGGAAGAAGCTGGGCAAAAAGGTCTCTGAGGTGGTGCAGCAGGAGCAGGACAGATTCTCTCAGATCTACGTGTCCAATCCTGTCATCGTCCCCGGTGGCAGATTCAGGTGAGGAGGGTGTGGGGGTCCTACCATCGTCCCCGTGGCAGGTTCATGGGGGGGGGTCCTACCATCGTCCCGTGGCAGGTTCATGGGGGGGGGGTCCTACCATCGTCCCCGTGGCAGGTTCATGGGGGGGGGTCCTACCATCGTCCCCGTGGCAGGTTCATGGGGGGGGGGGGGGTTCTACCATCGTCCCCGTGTCAGGTTCATGGGGGGGGGTCCTACCATCGTCCCCGTGGTAGGTTCATGGGGGGGGGTCCTACCATCGTCCCCGTGGTAGGTTCATGGGGGGGGGTCCTACCATCGTCCCCGTGGCAGGTTCATGGGGGGGGTCCTACCATCGTCCCGTGGCAGGTTCATGGGGGGGGGGGGTCCTACCATCGTCCCCGTGGCAGGTTCATGGGGGGGGGTCCTACCATCGTCCCCGTGGCAGGTTCATGGGGGGGGGGGTCCTACCATCGTCCCCGTGGTAGGTTCATGGGGGGGGTCCTACCATCGTCCCCGTGGCAGGTTCATGGGGGGGGGTCCTATCATCGTCCCCGTGGCAGGTTCATGGGGGGGGGGGTCCTACCATCGTCCCCGTGGCAGGTTCATGGGGGGGGGGTCCTACCATCGTCCCCGTGGCAGGTTCATGGGGGGGGGGTCCTATCATCGTCCCCGTGGCAGGTTCATGGGGGGGGGGTCCTACCATCGTCCCCGTGGTAGGTTCATGGGGGGGGGGTCCTACCATTGTCCCTGTGGGGGGGGGGGGTCCTACCATCGTCCCCGTGGCAGGTTCATGGGGGGGGGGTCCTATCATTGTCCCCGTGGCAGGTTCATGGGGGGGTGTACCACCACCCTCCCAGTGGCAAGTTCAGGTGAGAGGGTCCTACCATCATCCCAGTGGCAGGTTCAGGTGAGGGGATCCTACCATCATCCCCGTGGCAGGATCAGGTGAGGGGGTCCTACCATCATCCCCGTGGCAGGTTCTAGTGAGGAGCGGGGTGAGGGTCCTATCATCGTTCCCCGTGGCAGGTTCAGGCGGGGGGATCCTACCATCATCCTGTGGCAGGTTCAATGTGAGGGGGATGATTCCATCATCCCCATGGCAGGTTCAGGTGGGGGAATCCTACCATCATCCCTGTGGCAGGTTCAGGCGGGGGGATCCTACCATCATCCCTGTGGCAGGTTCAGGTGAGGGGGGGTCCTACCATCATCCCCGTGGCAGGTTCAGGTGAGAGGGTCCTACCATCATCCCTGTAGCAGGTTCAGGTGAGAGGGTCCTACCATCATCCCTGTGGCAGGTTCAGGTGAGAGGGTCCTACCATCATCCCCGTGGCAGGTTCAGGTGAGAGGGTCCTACCATCATCCCCGTGGCAGGTTCAGGTGAGGTGTGGGGTGTGAGGGCCCTCTCATCGTTCCCAGTGGCAGGTTCAGGTGAGGAAGATGAAGTATGATGAAGAGGTTGTGTGTTGGAATAGGAACATGTATTATCTGAGGACGAACCATGCACAGGTGTGTCAGGGAAGAGAGACTGGCTCTGTGACTATAACTGAATTCCCACCTGTGAGCACACAAGTGATGGCCACAACTAATATTTACAGTTATTACAAGTATTTTTGTGAGAGACACTGGTACTCTATATTTTTTGAATATTAAGAAGGATAACTTATAAACTAAAGAACTACTGTATATATACAGTATTAAAAATATATAATTGATTTTTCTATTCTGTACACACTTTAACTTATTAATGAATATATACAATAAATGTTTTACCTTTTAATCAAGAAAATTTCTTACAGACTTTATATACAGTTAAAATACCAATCATTAATCTGTGATATTGTATTGTCTAAAGGTTGTACAAGACATATTTGATTTTGATTTTATAAATTAACTTAGTTTTCAAACATCTTCTCAGGGAATTTTATTACTGGGACTCTTACTGGACCATCGATGGACTACTGCTGTCAGGAATGAAGGAGACGGTGAAGGGTATGCTACAGAATTTTATAGATATGGTGGACACTTATGGTATGGTTCCCAATGGTGGCCGCATCTACTACACTCGCAGGAGTCAACCACCCTACCTCATCCCCATGGTTAAGCTCTACATGGAACACACCAACGACCTTGATTTCCTCCGGTGGGTCTTGCCTTACATATGTACTTTAGATGTTGGCTCCATGTTGGGCATAAAGCCTATCAACCTCTGATTAACCAGAAAAACTTTTTTGTGTTAAAAGCTACCATTAATTAGGGTCTTGATTTCTGAGATTGTATTGTACACTAAAACCTAATTGATATCAAAACCTTTAATTTATTCTCCTACTGTGTCTTTTGCATTTATATTAATGATCCTTAACACCAGATAATATTTTAGTTTTTATGACAGCAACGTGTATTAAAGGCAAAATGTAGTTTGTGGTTTTCTAGAATATTGTGTATAGTAATTGTGTTGCAAATTATTACCAGATTTGGCCCTAAGACATATAGAAATTCATAATTATTGACATGGCAGCCTAATTCCCATAAGGATATACTGTAATAAAAATATAATACTGTATATTATATTAAGAAATTATACTATACTGTATTAGGAAAAATTCAGTTAAGAAATATATATATATACCTATATACCAGGTAAGAAACCTTGGTTGAAATTCTTGAAATGAATTTTCGTATATTTTTTTCCTTACAGTAAGAATATTAAGGTGATAGAGAGAGAATTCAAGTTCTGGGAAGAAAATCGTTCACTTACCATCAAGGATCGAGATGGCAAGTCTCACGTGGTGGCCCGGTATCAGGTCAACGCTGGGGAGCCCAGGCCTGAATCCTTCAGGTTAGACCTAGTCATTGTGCCACCAAATCTTATTTGCATATCCCTACAGATCTGTTGTATTGTAACTTGACTAGTTAAGCCAAAACACAATCATCATTATTACCCCACCTTGTACTTTGAAAAGGTAACTAAGCATCAGCCAGAAGTAGTGTAGATAAAGGTGGTTAGTGATATGATAGTGGCCCTTCCCTCCATTCATCTTACATTCATCGGCATACTACGTGTCATTATGGAAAACCAGAACAACTGCACCCAAGCAGATTCTTCACAGAAGCGCCCTACCCCTTCATACAACCAGATGCACACTGCTCTTTGGTAGTTATAATATACTAACAAAACACCTGAGTATTCTTTCTGTATGTCCTGCTGTCCCGTAGCCTTGTTTCTCTACCACATTTTCGGTGTTATTCACAATCTTACACTCGCTCTTCTTAATTTTTCCTCTCTACACCTTCTCATACACCCTGAGCCCATTATGTGCCTTTGTAAGCCTTTCTGCTACCGCTCACAAGATGGGTATGGGGTGCATAATTAATGAACTAAACTAACTTTTATAAGCACTAGCTCTGTGTCTGTTAGATTTGAAGAAGCTTACAGGCAAAACATCAGTTTTAGTTTAGTTTTTTTATTATGCACCACATACCCATCTTGTGGTTGATAGTGGAATGGGTTAAAGAGGCACATAATGGACTCAGGGACTGAACCCCACAATTCATTTAGCTAAGCAAGTTACAATTTTTATGAGCCAGTTACAAAATTCAATGCACATCACGTCAACAATGGGTTCGAGACCAACCACAAGTACAGTTTCTAAATTAAGCAACTAACATGCAGAGAACTAGTGTCACAGTTGATATGTTTGTCCTGCACACCGACCCCCATCCAGTGGGCAGCAGTGGATAGGTTACAATCACTTAGTTAAAACCTACAGTTAGCAAACTGGAGATATTTGGCTAAGATTAAAATCTACTTGAATTGGCCGGAGTTTCTCCACATCATTTTAAAGTACTTCATGCTCTATTCATTTAACTTACTGTGCAGGTTTCTGTATTTCTTCATTTGCTTCATATGGCCTAGACATTAGTTATGAATATTAATATGAATACAGTATTAACTTATGTTACTATTTCAGGGAAGACTATGAGCTTGCTCACCAGCTGGCAACAGAGGAAGAACAGCAGGCATTATATGTGGAGCTCAAGTCCGGTGCTGAATCTGGTTGGGACTACTCAACTCGCTGGTTTGTCGGTAACAACACAAATAAAGGTTAGCTTTTGTAATACTCGGTTGAATAAAGCATGATATGAGTGCTAGTAAACCATCTTTTAACAAAAGTAATGCGTTTTACAGTAATTGTTTTGCTTGAACTAAGATGCATGAATTGAAAAGTGTGTTTGTAGACGAGGTCTGTCCAGATAACTGTTTCTGTGGTGCATACATTTTCGAAGCTCTTACTTTATTGAATATTTCAGACCTAAATCCCAATAATAAATCATATTTGATATGGTTTTTCTAAATGAATGTTAAGCATCAAGTATGGTCAAGTTTCTGGTGCAATTAACCATATCTACTAGTCAGCAGACATGATCATTATAATATCTTTGTTTTCTTTTCTACAATGTCTTTCACATACTTAGATTATTTCACCTATTTTGGATAATGCATTAAAATCTTAAAATATATTTTATTCTGCAGTAAATATTTTACCATCCCATTTCTTCTGGGTAAATTAAGATATTTCTATTATAAATAGTCGTACTGTGAAATCAGTGGGTTTAAGACTTTTGCAGGCTATATGCTGTCAATGAAAGGTTCACAATAGCTGTAAATTTATGAATAAACTACTGCTATTCATTCTGGGCTGGACTTTAAGCTCAGTGATGACTCTGTAGCACCATAATGCCATGCAGTGACAGTTTAAAAAGTTCTCTTTGGTTCTGGTGTAGTATGTTGTTCTACGGCATGGACACAGTCAAATCATACTTTAGGGAGCCAAAGAATGATCCTCTTAGAAAAGTGCTTTTGTGTAACTCAAACCCCTGTTTAAAAAAATGTGAATTAAATTTATTGAAAGTTTAATATATAATTTTTGCATCATGCATTATAAAATGCATTAGCTATTAAAATAATACCTTCTCTTCCCTTCCCCCCTATCTCCCAAAAGCAACAAACTGAGGTTTATTTTGGAGGGATATGCATGAGCAAATACAAATTTTTGTGTATTAATAAAAGGTTTGGTCTATGCTAACTGACTACAGTAGTTCTTTTGTCTGTATGAAAGCTTGTCCTTGCTGATCTATGGGATACTGCACTCATTACAGTTGCTGTCTATATACTAGCACTTTTCCTCATGTGTCGATGGTTGATGCAGGCCAAGTCCTCTTTCCCAGTAGTGCTTGTAGGGGTCGTTGTGATTTACAAGTTGGAGGTGGCCCCAGACAGAATTTTGAAGAACTTTGGTGAGACATCAGTGAAATTAAACTCTTCAGCTTGCTTATTCGTCAGCCAACCAATTTCTGAATATAAATCAAACAAACATTTGATAATAAGGTGGCAAAAAATTTGTTATTCAGCTTTCCAAATGCCTTGTAGATCCCAAATTTAACTATTAGTTTCAAATCTTGAGACCTCATGTACATAGATTTTTCCTTACTGAAAAAATCTGAAAAGGAAAGAAATCATTCTAGAAAAAACCCTGATCATATCCATTAAAAAGATAAATGGTTATAGGGGTAAGGTCAGTCATTGGACTAGATGGATGTTGAAAAGTTAGCAGCCTTCCTGTTCTGGACAATTGGAAACCATGGAAAACCATTCCATTGGAACCTTTTGGTCATTTTAACATCAACTGTCATTAGTGAATAATGCCAGATCACCTTTGAGTCCAAGATTAAATTATAGTTCTCATAATTCTGTGTAAATTCAAAATAAAATCCACATTTTAAGGGTGGGCTCCCTTGCATCTTCCTGAAGCTATCTCGCTGAGATGGCTCCCAACTACTAGATCACATCTGCCATGGTGGTCTGTTTGGCCTACCACGAACCAGGGCCAGAACCTGGCTCCCTCACAGAGGCACAAGAAGTAGGTGACACTCTACCACCTCATTGCAAAAGTCACCTAGAAAAATCAGTGACCCAATACTGACCACTTCTGTGTTTGAAGAGGCCGAAACCTCACAACGTACCAAATGAACTCTCTACAACAATGTAAAGAAACGATGGAATCTCTCGAAACAAGTGTGCACTTGTTTACCCCACCCCTCCCACTCAATTGTGGGGTGTGGCAGAGGCTCATGCTGTCCACTGGCAGAGCCATCAGTTTTGTTGTTTATGCAGTGTGAATAACACTTCTACTATAGGGTTCCATGGTTGTCTTTAAACCATGGCAGGTCCCAGTACTTTTTTGCTAAGTGCTGGCCTTTCTTGAACTTTGTCCTGTTTGGCCTGTTGTGTATTATTTCATGGTACGTGAACCTGACTATTAGTGCACTTGGAGCTGCACGTGGTCAAGGCTACCTTCCCTAGTGCTGTCCCTGCTGTGTCAGCATTTTCATCTCAGGTGTTCGTTCTCTTAGAGGCCAGTCTTATTTGGGGTGACCCTCACCTTGGGTGAGCCGAGTCTTGTTATCTTCTTGTCTTGGCCCAGGTTGAGAGCAAGCACATTTGCTTGTGGCTTGTTAAGCTTGGAACTGTTCCTCCTTGTTATAATAATAATAATAATAATAATAATAATAATAATAATAATAATAATAATAATAATAATTTATTTGCAAGAAGGAACAATGGGTTGGTGAGATTACATGAGATTCGTATTTTTACATTCATGCAAACCCACTAACGCACATAGCATTTATATCAGGTAAGATGAAAAGGTACATTGTAGCAAGGTTTTATGTCAACAAATAACTACAATCTAAGTAGACAGAGGAGATTATACTGGTAAGTCTTAAGTACTAATACTGGGGAAGTAAAATATAACATATGTTCATGTTACATATGACTTTTTGAAGAAGTGGTCTGGATCAATATCCTCTTAAATTGTTCAGTTTTTTCAAAGTTTTGATGAGATCAGCCCTATCACGTCTGGTTTGTAGTGTTGTTAGTCCTGTGGCCCTCACCTGTTCCTGATATGAGAGTCGACTTAGTTCAGAAATGATTTTAGTGCCTGGTGTTGAATTTTCTCCAAAACAGATATGTTTTCTGAAGATGAGACCTCCATGTTTGAATACAATAATCCAAGTGTGATGCACCAGGGATTTACACATTTGTCAGTCTAACTGGGTTTTGGTGGCACAATACCTGGTTAAATTAAAGTTCCCGAACCTTTTCGGGCCTGTGTTGCTTTCGGTCGTATCTCTCAACCTAGTCTTGGCTTCACTATGACTTCCTGTACTTTCTCCTCCTCCTCCCTGGTAACTCATTATTTTTCTTTTCTGAGGATAGTTAGCTTCAGGGGGCCACAAAGGGCTCCCACTCCCCAGAAAACCAGCGTTGATTATAATAAAACGCCTCTTTCTGGGTGAATCCTGTTAGATTCCTGATTCACACCCCCCCACCCTTCTTCCTTCTAGGTTGTCAGTTGGGGATTTGGCATGTGCACATCTGCTCCAAAACTGATGGCTTTGCCAGTGAACAGTGTGAGCCTCAGACCTCCTCCAAATGAGTGGGAAGAGTGGGTCAAATGAGTGCACGCTTGTTTAAAGAAATTCAGTCGTTTGTTTACATTGTTGAGAGTTCATTTAGCAGGTTGTTAAGTTTTAGTCTTTTTTCCCGCTGAGGCAGTGGAGTGTCACCTACTTCCTATGCCTCTGCAAGGAGGCAAAAATTCTGGAGCTAGTCCCTGATAAGCCAAACAGAACACTACAGTCGATGCAATCTACTAGTTGGGAGCCACTGGAGCTCGCCCAGAAAGAGGCATTTAATTACATTCAATGCTGGTTGTTTATGCTTTTGCACTGCCACTTCTGTTTTCTTTGTCATTTTTAACTAAACTTGGTCCTAAAATTATCATTCTTGTCAGTTGGCTGCCTTATATATATGAACATCCGAGTTCAGCATCATTCTCCATCCTCCTCTTATCCACTACAAGCTTCCTAATTCAATCAAGTACAGTACTGTAATGTAGTATATAAATGCCCTCTCTCCTTCCATGTTTAATATGTAATAACATATGCTTTTAATATGTAATTGCAATACATCATAAACATTTGCTTGTATGCTTGCTGCTAATGCTTCTTGCCAACCCAATAATAATTTAAGGTAATCCAGTCATTTGCTCTTAATTTGCATTTGGCAGATCACTGCCAATCTTAATCAATCAAAGTTACCATGTTTTATGTTAACCAGTTTGGATAACATTTACTTTTTGTCTTACAGCTACATATTTTATTTTATTAATAATAATATTAAAACAAGTTATTTATATCAAAATACATACATTTGAAACATGATACAGTGGAGTATTCATAAGTACACATTGTAACTTATATAAAGACTACTTATACACAGAGTGTTTAGACATAACTTAGATCATTTATTTATAAGTTTCATATGTCAACACTTAATAATAAATGATAATTAAACTTAACATAAAGTATTGTATGTATTGAATTGTTAAAGAAATAAGTGATATTAATGACTAAATTCATGGTACAGTATTCAATATAGAAACTGTAGTTTTAGCAAGAATACAGATACAGCATTTAATGATCATAACAAAGCCCAGGTTGACATGATGATGATGATGAGTAAGTTAGGTATTTTTTAGTTATTCTTTAAAACTGATTGATTGCATTACAGATTTTTAATCTCATTTAGGGAGATCATTCCACAGTTTGGAACCCACAATTTGCAAGGCATTTTTGCTTTGGTTGAGTCGCACTCTTTGAAATCAAATAATAATAATAATAATAGGAATAAAAATAATAATAATAATAATAGTAATAATAATAATGATGATGATTATAATTTGTATTCATAAGAATGTGTATGCAAAGAAAAAGGAGGAACAGTTGTAGCAACAGGGAGGTTACACATCTAAATAAAGTCACTGCTTTGCAAAGCATTTTGTGCAAAACTTGGAATAGTGTATTGTAAAAAAAACAGCATTGAATGTAAAAGCTGTTGAACGTTGAAAGCTGAACAAGCAACAGAACTCCCCAATCAAAACCAGGGAAACAAGTATGACGTCACCACAAACACCACACATCCATCTGCGTAGTATCAAAAAGTGAAAAAAACGCCGACCGGAGGGAGGGAGGGATGCT